CAAGCCCGCCGAGATCGCCATCAGCCATTGGTTCGACATTGCCTACGACATGGACTCCTACAACCACGACTCAGTACCCGAGTGGCTCGCTGGATTTGCCGCCCGTAACTTCGGTGAAGAGCATGCTGAGGAGATCGCCGAGATTATGGACGAGTACGGTTTCCTCGCCAACATGCGCAAGTTCGAATGGGTCGAGCCCTCTTCCTTCAGCGTTCTCAACTACGAGGAGGCTGACCGCATCCTCGCTCACTGGGAGTCACTCGCCGAACGCGCCAACAAGGTCAACGCCGCGCTTTCTCCGGAGCAACAGCCCGCATTCTACGAGATTATTCTGCACCGTGTCCTCGCTGGAGGCAACCACGTCGATGTACAGGTTTCAGGCGCCAGGAACATCATCTACGCGCAGATGGGCCGCAACAGCGCCAACAGGTGGATGCAGCGTGTGATTGATGGCATGAACAAAGATCACAACCTCACCCGCCTCTACCACACTCAGCTCAACGGCAAGTGGGACCACATGATGGACCAGACCCATCTGGGATACCAAGGATACTGGTAAGTTCTAAATGATCTAGCGATGAAAGTCATGATGCTAACCCAATCGCAGGCAACAACCTATGCGCCAGTCCACCCCCGATCTCCGCTGGGTACAGACTCAAGAACGATCCCTAGCCGGCGACATGGGCATCTCAGTCGAAGGCTCCAACGCCACCATTCCCGGTGACGACATGTGGCACAGTAACGGAGGTGGCTCGCTGACCCTCCCGGCCATGACACCCTTCACCCCCAAGCGCTGGATCGAGATCTCACACCGCGGCACCGGAGCCTTCAACTGGAACATCAGCGCCGACCCCTTCGTCACTCTCTCGGAAGCCAAAGGAACCATGCAACCCAACGACGAAGACATCCGCATTTACGTCGACGTAGACTGGACCAAAGTCGAAGACGGTTTCGGCGCCCAAAGCAAGCTCAACTTCTCCAGCTCCACCGACTTCGGCACCCAGGGTGGAAACCCACAAGTAATGTTCATGGTAAACAAGACGTCCATCCCCTCCGACTTCAACGCCGGCTTCGTCGAATCCGCGGGCCAACTCGCTTTCGAAGCAGAGCACTACACGCGCTCCACCCCTGGTTCCTCCGACAACGAATACATGGTCCTCCCCAAATACGGCCGTACCATGTCTGGCGTCAAGCTCGCCAACAACCTAGCCGAAGGCCTCGATTCCTCCAGCGCACCAAGTCTGGAATACGACTTCGTCACCTTCACACCCACCACCAAGGCCAAGGGCCTCAACGTCACCCTCATCCTCACACCCACCCACAACATCAACCCCAAAGTCCCTCTCGCGTACATCGCTCAGATCGACAACAAGACCGAGGCCCGCCGCCAGTTTGTCATCGACCAGCCGCAGCCAAACTTCCCTGTTGGATGGGGTGTTGCGGTTGCGGATAGCGCGTGGAAGAACACGACTAACCACGGTGAACTTGCACCTGGTAAGCATACTCTCAAGCTGTGGCTTGTAGAGGCGAATGTTATTTTGCAGAAGGTTGTCCTGGATCTGGGTGGTGTTGTGTACAGTCATAATGGGCCGCCGGAGAGTTATCGCGTTGGCGGGAATGCGACTATGCACTAGACAGTGGTGCTAGAGGGGATGGAAAGATGATAGTATGTGAGATGAATTCAGTAATGTAATGTGTTCATTCGCAATGAGTTGTCTAAACGTGTGTGTGTGTGTGTTTGTACGTAGGTGAGATTGTACGAAATGCGATGACAACGGACCGATGCGGTGAGATTAGCTGAGTTATCGCCATGTCATGGCGGACCGATTCTTGTGCAAATGGGGAAATGCTGCTCGAAGAAGACACAGTATACCTCATGTATTGATGGAGAAGTGAATATCCTTATGCCCATGCATCGCTATGCTACACCCGAAGAAAGACAATCCTGAACGCCAACACAATATGCCGCCACCAATCTTGTATCCAAATTCTCAATCTGCCCTATACCTCCTCCCTATAAATCTTGTGTATCATCTTCCCCCGTCCTATGCAACACCACCAGCGCCTCCCCCCGCACCCCCAGCACTCCTACCCACATCACTTGTCGCACCGCCTTTCCCCGCTTTCCTCCGCATGCTCTTGCTACGGTGTGAATAGTAGTTGCTCGGTTCCTTCATCTGCTCCTTGTCGAGGCGCTCTTGGCTGGGTTGCAGTTTGCCGTCTGTGGCGCGTTCTTTGACTTTGCTGACTTTGGAGCCCATTATGGGGGTTGTGGCGGGAGCGTTGGGGTTGGTGGAGGTTGGTGTAGGTGTTGAGGTAGTGGTGGGTTTGGTTTGCGCGTGTGGTGGTGAGGTGGTAGAGGGAGAATCGCTGTCTCGGTTCGATAGGATGATTACACTAGTTATCTCGTCAGCTCAAGTCCAGCAACAAGTCGCGTGTGCGCATTCGCGCAAGGCTGTCTTCTCAATCCACTTACGGTGGCGCAGGATGAGGTTCCGGTTCCGGTTTACTTGGAGGTCTCGATGTCGCGTCGGTGAGGTGAGATTCTTGTCGTGAAAGTGCAGGTCTAGAAATAAGGAGAGAGAGTTAGGAATTGGACCGACAGAAGATACGAGATGGTTGCACAAACTACCTAGGTAAGATTGGGCATACGTACGACAGGGATGACGTAGGTGGGTGCGGCTGGAATGGCGGATCGGCAGGGTCTGGTACCTGGAAGTGGGGCGCAGGTGCTTTACCGGATTGGGCGAGGATGATGATTCTGGGTTGGAAATGGTTAATGGGGGTGGTGTTGGTTTGGTGGTAGTCGTCTGAAGATGGTTGAGTTTGAGATGGAAGGGGTGAAGACTTACGGTGGTGCAGCTGGCGGTTCTGGGTCGTTTCCACCATCCTTCATCTCTCCAGATGTTGAGTATGGCCCTCGGTGTGACATTTGACTTGAGTAATGAGACTGTTGAAGGAAGTGCCAGGCAACTCTGTATACTTCGAGTAGAAGATGATGTGCCTCTATGACGGAGACTGCGTGTACAATGGCGATGGAAGACTGCTCGATGTTGCTGATAGTACGAGATTGGGCTTGAACGGAAGTCATAGCAAGAGCTGGCAAGAAGGGGATATCCATCATGTTCATTGAGTTGATGGCCCTAACCGTGCCCCATCCCGACTCTTATATATGATATGAGGCCTCTCATCTCAGCACGAGCATGAGCGCATTTCCAACGATCTCCCTCCGACTCACAGCCGGAGTCATGGCTGTCGCAGCACTCTACTCTTTCGATCTCGCCCCATCACCCATCTAGTGCTCGTCTAACGAGTAGGAATGATCGTTTCCACGTTGAAGAACGCGCTAGAGCAACGTTGAAAGCTCGGCCAGAACGTGTAGGGTCGGATATAGGGCTAAGTTTGGTAGCCGTGACCCGCTTGACAGCCTGTATAGGAAGAATTATTGGATCGACCCGGTTTTAGTCAGAGGGAAGCCTGAGAGGAGGCTCAAGTTAAGCTTTCTGGCATGTGTCTCAGAGGTGACCCGTTTCGGTGTCTAAGTGCGAGGCAGTTCGGTCAACCGAGTCGGCGACTCGGAAGACTGAATTAGGTGCATCAGGCGAGCCATTGCCTTTAGTCGGGTATAGATGCATCCTTCACCTTCAACCAAGCGGATCGCGTCGCGGGCGATGCTGTAGTGATGTGGCTGTGCGTGGGATATGGGCATCGTGTAATTTAGCTAGGGCGGTTAGAACTTCCGTTCGTGGGAGGCCTGGTAGGCCGAGCAGGAGGCTTACTCTGGATCGCCACCATGGCGGTGTTGTGCATGATAAGGCCTTCAATCATCTGTGATGAAGAGGGAGAGAGAAAGAGGAAATTGCGACATCAGGGACGGGATTGGGGACGTGGAGATGTTTGGCCGTTCGCGCATGGCGCATGGTGCCCCGCTTCAGCCCTGGAGGTCCACAACGCTGGGCTGGTTCCTGGCCGTGGCCGCCACGGCCGCCCACCCAATTCCCGCCGCTACTCTGCAAACCCACCAACAACTGCATCATCATCCTCATTCTCAGCACACTCGTGACTCTAGCTCTCTCATCATCTCTCCTGACTAATCGACCTTTTGCCGTGACGTTCAATGCCGCGCCCTTCCTATTGCTCACACGTCTCTGCCACGGCGGGTTCCGACATCCATTTCTCTGGGAACACCAACGCCCAGATCGACCACAATGCCAGGGATCATGGGCTTATCTCAGCCATAAATAGAGAGCTTCGCGACACTCTAGGATTGGTCTCAGGACCAGACTTGTGACTCGTATCACAATCATGTCTGCCTCGCCCTAAGGTGAACGGTCGTTGGGGGCCAATGGCAGTGCACGCGGAGCCGAGTTCTAGCACCACCACCAAGCCTCGAGCAGCCTCGTCTGTGTTACTGCTTATATAATGCACGGCGAACCGACTTTGACGTCTTGACTGGTTAGGAATCCAGCAGGTAAGTTATTCCCAAGATTCCAGACCATTGACATGAGGGCCGATCGATCCCTGCTCCGACCGGTCAACAGATTAGCACACCGTTTCTACCGCGCATGCATTTGCTGTCACGGGAGCGTCACGCCCTTCGCGCTTATATATCAGCTCTGACAGCTTGAGCGCAATATGTAAGTATGGCGGGAGTAGAAAAACTTCCGGGCGAGCACACGCAACAGTATGCGATAACATTACCAATACCAAGGCAACTATGACTCCAAACTCCAGGGAAGGTCGAGATTCCAAACACTAGTCCATTCTCAGAAGTCCATCAGGCCAAGAAGCTGACAGAAGCACTACCAAGGCGATGTAGACACGCTACGTCCGATGATCCAGTCTTGTTTCTCGAAACCATCCCGAAAGAAACGCCCTCACATCTCAACGCCGAAAGCTAATCAGCCTGCGACTGCTCAACCACCACGCCTACCCCCCTCGAATCAGCACCCTAGAAACAAAGCGGAACCCCAGAATTACAAGTACACCCGGTCGGACAGTTAAACCCAGGCACCGTAGTTTCCGGCTGCGGCGGCTGTGTCGGCTTCGATGGGTTCGTCGGCGGCTCAGGAGCCGACTCATCAGGTCTATAATTCTTCCTGAGCGCCGCGACAATCACATCGCCAATCTCCTTGTGTCCATCCTGTTTCGGATGCAACGTCCGCGCTATTTTTCCATTTGCATTCCCGCTCCCACTCCCACCGTTTAGAGGCTGCGGCTCAACCTTCACCTCCATGCTCAGGTTTGGTTCCTCGGGGTTGCGGAAGGTGATTATCGTGTATTCATCTTGTTGCACGGATTCGCCCTCGGGGTGTCCGCGTAGCTTCTCAAGGATATCCTCGGGTGGGCCGGGGGCGTCTAGGTCGTCGTCGCTGGGCTCGTATGTGGTAACGCTGTCGCCGTCGTGGATGGTGATACTCCGCCGGATGGGGTTGTTAAAGATATGCACCTCGGTGCTGTTAGGGTCGAGCTGCACCCTCAAGCTGTGGCCTTTTTCGCAGAAACGGTGGCCTTCCAGGGCGGGGTTGATGTCGATGTATCGAATTTTTGGGTCGTTGTAGTGTTCGACGGCGGAGCGGACCGCAAGGTTCACGGCGTCGACCTAAGCGGGTAAGATGTGTTAGTCTGTGAGATGGAAGTGCCATGGGAGTAGAATTTACCAGATCATTAAACTCCTGTCGCATTTCTTTCTTGAGCTTCTGTGCATTCCATGGGAATTGGAACTGTCTGCCAAAGTCCCAGTCGTTGCACGCGTCGTCAAGGGCGAAGAAGCGCGCATATCCTAGCATGAAGAGTGTTGCGTCGTTGCCGCTGACAGCAGGGTGGGCCCTCCAGATATCGATAGTATCTATAACGGCCTGCTGAAGTTTCTCTCCGACTCTTCCTCGTACTAGCTTGATCTCCTTCCTGCACAATCCCGTCGGGTGGTCAGCATCGTCGTCTTCGTAATGAGTCCCATAGTCTACTCTCGGGTCGGTATGGAAGAGGCAGCTGTCGGCCATGGGGTAGAAATCGGCATTATTCCCGCCGGCTTCGAGCATGGTCATCTTCGGTCGTGTCAACTTGTCCATTTGGTCGTGGATGTTCTTTCCCAAATGGGCGCCGGAACAGGCTCTGAACTCGAATTGGGGATCTTGATCGGGGGTTGGTGCCCAGTCCTGGTATCTGTCGTTGACGACGGTCGACCAGGCGTACTTGAAGCGCATGCATCCGTCTTCGTTCCCGTCGTATGCGGTTTCGTTGTTCCATTGAACTCCGCTCTGTTGTGTTTTAGTCAATGTGTAGCGATTGAGTGAGTTTACGTACTCCCCAAGAATCCCCGATGGCGGAAAAGATGAACTCATTGTCTCTGGTGTTCAGGATGTTGTTGAGAGATATACCCTTGGGATAGCCCGACACTGACTGTGCCAGAAGTATTGGCCCAAGAGCCAGAGCATGTCGAAGCGCGAACATGGTGTATTGTTTATTCGAAGTCTAGCTGGTCAGGTACTTGGGGAGAGAAGAAGACGAGAGATGGACTTGGTCTGGTGTCTACCTTCCCCACTTCCGTTACTATCTTCTTATATATTTGTTCATGAGCACGCTTCTCTGAGCCTGCTGTCAGCAGTGAGCATGTATGAGACGATCCGACTAGGCTTTCGACCCCCAACCCCGTCTTCACGAAGCGCTTCAGCGGCGCAGAGCTGACATCAGACACACTCACGTCGGTTGTGTATACTTGCCACCTGTGTCATCAACTGGGCGTACGTTTTGGGGTCTAAAGACGTCGCTCACGAATGTTTCAATGCTCGGTTAGGATATTTCGGTCATAGTACTACTAGTGATGACCCTAACCCCTCCGAATTGTCAAACAAACCAACTCCCAGGAGGACGAGCCGCTGATCCAATTCGACATCATGACAAGAAGCCACGATGGATGTCCGTCCAAACGTCACCATCAACAGCGTGCGCGCAGTTACGCTGCATGGGGCCAGTAACGCCCGGCGCTTCGGTTGAACCATCTTGAAACCTGGGGTCGACAAAGCCTCGCTTTGTAGTCAGGAATGTAAGCAGCAAGGCGGAGAAGCGACGGGGCGGTAGCAGTATTGACTAGAACTACCTCAGTTATGAGGCAGACAGTCGATCCTGCGTGAGGCTGTGGAGGCGCACGAAAATATCTACTCAGTAGGCCTGACCCCAATGCGAAACCTTCATGTCAGTTCTGGCGATCGGGCTGGACGCCCAGAGCTCAGCGAGGTTTCATGGCGCGTTGTTGTTTGGCCTTGCGAAACATGTATAGCAGTGTGTTGGAATCACCCATGCCTCGTTGAGCGACAGCAATAACACATGAATGATGTATCGATAGAAGGTCATGCGCACTCGCAATGATAACAGTATAACGACCAAATATATTACTCACTCATCTGTGTCCCAAATACCCAGTGTGACATCCATCATCCCCCTCATATGAACAACCGCTTCCATGCGACTACCTGCGCCTCTCCCTCTGACAGCCTTAACGAATCTATCACCTTCCTCCACCTCATCTAGGGCACTTCCCCCAAGCTTGATCGAGCCCTTTTTCCCATACGCTTTCATTTTCCCGAACCAACTGAACGGGTACCGCAAATACAAATCACCAGTGCCGACGTAGTGATCACTCTTCGTACTGACAAGGGGATCGTACAGCTCGTCCAAGAGCTCTCGGTTTGCATTATCCAGATGTAAAACCGTGTTGCCATACAATGTAGTCGTTTTGATCGTGCTTTCATCGTCCGGACTCACGGCAGCAAATGGTCGTAGATACGCGTTTACGTTGCCTTCGATACTCGCGAGAGTAGTGTACGAGCCATGTGGTGTCTCCGCGACTACATTGCCGTAAGCCGAGTGAATTTCCGTGTAATGTGTAAAAGGCTGCTGTGGCCAATATTCCCAGAGCGCAGCGACGTTAATGTCTCCGCTGACTGTATACACCACGATTTCTTCAGGTCGCATCGGTTTTCCAATGAATGTATACCGCGGTACCAACATGAGATCGATCTGCCCGCTTTTGCTATGTATCTTTAATTTACCTTCGCAGCCATACCATCCCCATATGACTCCTGTTGTTGAGCTGGAATCGATGTTGTGTGGGTGCAATGGGTCCGGGCCTTTGCCGCCTTCGTATGTGTACTCGCCGTGCGAAGTATGTGTGATGAGGTTGTTGATCTGCCAGGCCCAGTCGTGAACCCATAGATCGAATGTCTCGGACCTGATCTCGAGCACATCCAATAGACGCACTGGTGATTCCGGACGGAAGTATATCATGACTTTGATCTCTGTGCAAATGTCATCGTCATCGTCGGAGGGAAGGTAATCTAAACTGAGGCTCGTTGCAGATTGGTTGTAGATGACATTCTGGTAGTCTGTCGTTGAGCTGGAGTTTATTTCGAGTCTGACTTCAATGTCTGAGCTCTGGTCCACGTCGCCTCTCTGGACGTGAATTATACCAGAGAGACGATCGCCAATTGTGGAATTGGATGAGTCGAATAGACGCCAATGGGTTTCAGCTCCGTCGCTGTTCGAGATGTTGAAGCCGAATGTGCGCGCTTCAGAAGAAACGATCGATTCACATCTGGCGTAGTTGATGATGGCCGGTTTGGTGTCGTGTAGAGATCGGTCTGAAGTCAACGTGTGGCTGGGAGGGCACGCATGCCAATACAGCAATACTATCGCGAATACGAGCAGCCCTAGTTGCGGTACTCTCCACAGTGGACGCTGTCGAAGGAAGGTACCTGGTTCCTCTTCGGAAGCCTATATGCTCATTAGAATTGATAAAGCGAACATGTACGGCAATAATACTAACCACCCGTACTTCACGCCCGCTCGAACCCGTCTTCATTGCCATCTCTTCCATGATTGCGTGCTGTTGTGAATTGTTTAGAGAGAGGCAGTAAAGGAAGAGATGGGATCAAAGTAAAAGACCCGCAGACGGCAGGCACAACCAGGAAGGCAGCAGCCGCGATGCCATGCTGACTGTGAAGACGCCCGGTGCCGCGCCGCACTCGGTTTCAGATGTCTGCGACGCGCCACAACGCAGACCCCGGCACGAGGCGGACTGCACGGCACGCCTCTGATCAGCACTCTGAATAGCTCGTCGTTATATTTGAAGGAGGATTCTCAGCCCGAGATGCGCATGGTGATCATGTACGAGCGGCATCCTTCGCGCTTGCCTTCCGCCCCGACGTGCTAGCATTAGCAAGGCGAGCAAATGACGTCACAACAGCACGATGTACAACCTAGTCATCACGGTCAAATTCGAATAGAAGTTCATGAATGCTTCATCTTGAAGACTTTTTCCTTATTGAGGCTCTACCTAATCGTGCTATTCGGGCAGAAAACTGCCTGCACTTGGCTGCCCATAGGATTGCTCAAACACACAGATGCCAACTCCGACGCCGACGCCAGAGAAATATGCACCAAAGCTCATGAGAGTCCGCTAATCGTTTCCTAGCTCACCGTGTTGAGCTTTTCACCATTCAGGACGAGGTCGCGGCAACATGAGGTAACCCTGGCCGTCGTGGGTGAGAGGGCAGGGGACCAGAGGGCAGTTGCCGTTCTTGTACTTCAATGAGCACATGAAGCGCAGGCACTCAGTGTTGTTCTCCATGCAGGGGCGACACTTGGTACCGCTGTCGCATCGCCGGTCCATGGCGTAACACTCCGTGCATGATACGACGGTCTCAGGGAGCTTGACATTGCGCGGCGGGACGACATGAATGGCACCACGGAGACGCTCGCCGTTGTTGCTGAGGTCCATGATGCGGGCATCCTTGAACTTGAGTTCTTCCTTGGCGTCCTTGAGCTGGGCTCGCTGGCGATCGGAAAGAGTGGTCATTTCACGAAGCTTGCCCTTGATGTCCTCGATGGCGCCGCGGTTTCCACGTTGCTCTTGGGCGTCCGTCAGCTCGAACTTCCGGACGACAAGCTCTTGTCGCAGATCAGCTATGGTCTGCTCGCGTGCAGTTGCAGCGTCAGCAAAGGCCTGGTTTTGTGTGCGGTGATGGTCGATGATCCGCTGATGGTCGACAGCCTCCTGCTGCTCCTTGATGAGGAGGGCCTTTTGCTCCTTGGCGATCTGCTTGAGCGCTGCCAACTCGGCATTCCTAGCGGCCAACTTGGTGTTCATAGTGGCTAACTCAGCATCCTTAGCAGCCATCCTGGCGCCATGCACACCGACCTTGTCATCTGGCATGAGTTAGCTTAGGCCCCTTTGGTACAGTATGATGTTCGAACTTACTTCCGGGGTTTGCCTTGTTGATCAACGCATTGCGGGCACCTAGCTGTTGACGTTGCTTTTTGATCTCAGCAACATGTCTCGCAGTCTCAACTCCTTTCCTTACCAGCTGAGCGTCCTTTGCCTTGATATCAGCGCCCTGCTTCTTCATTCCGAGATCCTGCTTCTTGATCATGGCGTCCTTCTCAGACATAGCGCGAGACATTGCGGCATTCTGGTTCTCGGTGGACTCGAGCTGGTATCCGAGAAGTCCTAGCTTCCTATCGGCCTCAGCGTTCTCGCGCTCCAGCCTGGCGAGAGTTTCCTGAGCGGCTGCCAACCTGTCCTCTAGCACGGTCACCTGCTCCTGCTCAGTCATCCACACCATCGTTGGTTGGTCGGATCCGAAATCATGAACGGCATCCACAACGGAGTCTGCTGGAGTCGGGGGTGTATCAGATGCAGCAGGCACGGATAACTCGATGTGAGGGACAGGGACGGGTGGCGACCAGGAGCTGTGATCAGAACGATGATCGGACTCGCTATCGGTGGCCTTGTTGTAGTCATTGATAGTATCAATCATGCTCCTGAACTCCATCCTGTTTTCAGGGATGTACTCGGGGATCGGCTGATCAGACCTAAGGGCGGAGGTCAAGGGCTCTTGCTGCTCTTGTAGGAAAGACGCCACAGACTCTGGGGTCCTGTACGGCTGCGCCAGCGGGGAGAACATCTCCGAACTTGAAGAAAGACGTGTAGCAAAGCGAGGGACTAGATGTGGTCAGTCAGTCATGCAGTAATGTGGATATGGATCTGGTCACTCACCACTGGCCACAGTTGGCAGCGACACTGGTCGCGGAGCTGGTGACGGGATTGGTGTAGAAGACTGCCTCTGTCTCATGAGGATATCGAGACCTGCGAAGTGGTTGCGGGGAGGCGACCTTGCACGGTTCTCCGAGAGCGACATGCGGCCGACGAGACCGTTGGTACGGTGAATGCCGTTGATGCCAGTGGTGTTCTGAGAGGAGGTGCCCTCGTCACTGAGGTCGATGAGGTTGCCTGACATGTTGCCAGTGGTCGGTGGTGATGATTGGGAATGAGAAAGGATGGGAAAAGACAGAAGAGCTGTCCGTTGTTGTGGGGGATTTTGTTTTGATTGTGGGGAGGTGAGGTGAGAGACAGCAGTCACAACAACGCCAAGCCAGAGACGAGCGCAACAGGCAGTCACCGTGACTTAGACAACAACAACACGTTGCCAGGCCCGTGCGCAAGATGGGTGACTGAGCTCGAAAAACGGAAACTACAGAAGAACATGCGAGGTGACTGAAGATCCCTACATGAAGTGACTAAGGATTCTTACGACGACAATATGAAATGGAAAACCTTTGATACCAACGTGGATGTATGCCCGCGGCCAGAGTTACAACCAAGTCAGACGCTGTTGTCATGCTACAAATGTCACGGGCGAAAAGGGAAGCCGATACCTTTGTGCCAGAGCTCCGTGTGTGGAACCAAGAAGAAGATATGTGTGTCTGGTGTGCTCTTTCTGGTTTGAAAGCGCGCAAGAGGCGATGACATCATCCTAATTTTGCATTGAAATGGTCGGTAAATGCCCACTGGACAACGACAAGTGACAGTGCTTGAAGATGTCTCACATTCATATAGTCTCGAGGCGCACACCGCACGCAAAAAAAAACATCTCCTCGCCAATGCGCACACCCACAATGCTCCCAGGCCATCTCTTTTCAAATCAACTTCTGCATTATACTTGACCTTATCTCGACGCACGTTCAATGATGAAAGAAAGAGGAGAAACGGGTGGAAAGGACTTGATCATCGGCCGAAACGCTTAAGTTCCCAGACTCTGAGAGGCGGATAGACGACTGCAGCCCATGCGAATCCAACAAAGTTGCCCATCTGTTCACATTAGCTTTGCACATATTTGCCTCCTCACGTGCACATACATCAGCTCCATAAGTCCCAACCTGCTTAGCGATCGGTCCAATGTACCAAACCTGGGCCATACACATGATGGCACCAATCCAGCCAATCACGAATGACGTGAAGGCGGCAATACCCAGCGGCAGCTTCTTCTTCTGGTTCCAGACTTGCCAGTTGAAGCCAGTCTTGCGTCGGAAGATCAAATGCTCTTCAAGCGTAATGGCGATCCAGACAGAGACCCAGTAACCCATGAGAGCGAGGAAGTTGGTGAAGATCTCGGCGAGATGAGCACGACCTGCTAAGGCACAGACTGTGTAGATGACTACGCCAACAGTGTTCCAGATGACTCGCGGCACGACACTTGCGTAGCGGCCTAGGATCTGGGCGTCAATGCCGGAAGAGTAGGTAGGGACGATGAGGTTGGCGACGAGACCCAAAGCTACTACCACGCCGCAGAATGAGCCGAAAGCGCCTAGCGGTTTGTATGCTTCGACTATCAGGGCGCCTTGGGATACCCCATATGCCGCTTCCCAGTCCGTGTTGATCAACATACCGCATGCCAGACCGATGCCCAAGACGAAGGCGAACGTGAAGCTGCACATCAAACCGAGCATGGTCATGCCGAAAATCTTGAACGATGATGCATGTTCGGGATAGTAGACGAAGTAGTCTGCTGCACCGCCACCATAGGTGATGGCCGCAGCGAGTGTCAGACCGAAGAAGCTGATGCGATTTCCGATTATGGTGTCTGGGTCTTCGTCGCCATGGGACTCGGAGGAGATGTTGGACTGCGGACCGGCGACGCCAGCTAGTATGCAGAGAACAATAAGCTGCGGTAGCCAGGCCCAGCGCTCGTAGTAGTGAAAGATCTGGTAGCCAAAGGTGGTGACGGCCCACGCAATGATGGCTACAATGATGATGCCGACTACGACGGACATTGAGTTGCCCGAAACAGCCGAGAGGATCTGCCCAGCGACTACGCAGTCGATCATCCCGTAGCCGAGTAAGACGATGATATTGAGCAGGACGACGACCTTGGACGGCCACCAGCCCGTGACGTATCGCGAGAAGATCATAGTCCGATTGCCGCTCTTCGGGCCAAAAGTTGCGATGTATGCGACGACAAGGCAGCCGACAAATGCGCCGAAGACGGCCAGCATGCAGGCATCGAGAAAACCGAGTGCGAAGACAGCCGGACCGAGCATGCCCAGGGTAATGTTGTTCGCCGCGAGGTTGACGCTGAACCACATGATGGCCACCTGAGAGTATCCAAGCAGGCGCAAGTCCTGTCGCTCCTCCGGCTCGACACGCTCAATGCCGCGGGCCTCGAGGTTGTATGCGACGAGCTGCCTCTCGAACGCCTTCCACATCTCCTGCCATCTGTTCTGGTGTCCCGCTCCTCCAGTCTCGGTATCATGTGCGCTGACAGGTAGTCCGGTTTCGGTTCTCGCGTTCGGGAAAAATATCGACTTCTTTCCATCGGGCGGGTTCGTGATGACGTCCATTACGGCGACCTAAAGCCATTAGTAGCAGCCTCGCGGCGAGGGAGCAAAGCATGAGTCCTTTCGCAGGCTTTAACCTGATCAAGTTCAGACCGTATCTCTCAGATCGCTACCAGCAAAGACGCTGGCGAGCGAACACCGGTCTCATGCGTTCTGCTATCTGACGTTACCTTGATCGGGCTTTCTGCTACTCGGCTGCATCCTGGCTATGTTGCCGTACTTTTGAAAAGACAATGACGCGATAGTAGGGATGTGAAGGAATGATCAGGAGAGAGATTGAGTGTCAATGGAAGCTGCGAGAAATGGGAGTGACATTGGAAGCAAAAGGCGACGAGCGAAAGATGACATGACCGAAAACCCCGCTATCGTGCCGTCCCGAAAACCTTGCGCCTTTCCCGTGTCTTGGACTACTCGCGTAATGGGATGCGTTCAGACTCTTCAATAATTTTCGGTTAGACTCGACTTGTCGCGCGCATACCCGTGGACGCGTCGAAATCACGCGATGGTTGTGGAGGTGTGGGAGTAGACCTCTGTGGTCATAGCTTCCTTGGGTTCACGCGGTGTTCCTGCGGGTCAGCCTCGCCCAGCTAGCATCGACGCGACACTTCCTATGACAGCATCATCTCGGACTCAACAACAGCCTCGAACGAAAATGACGGCAAGAGCACTACGGTCATAGACGAGCACACGCCATCTAGAGCGACGTCACCTTGCGCATGCGGCAAGTACACGCGGCGCTCTTATCATCTTCGGCGCCCGCCAGTAACCCCCGGTCTACATCGGCCCTGTGCCATCTTCCACACCATGCTCCTTCCTCTAAGCTGCATATCCGTTCTGTCCGTCTCTGCACTTAGCAGTCGTTCTACTACTATCCTACTTCCAGGTTTTCATGAGGTTATGCCCATATTAGGCAGGTCTAAGATCTGCGTTGCGACACATGAACACCGGGTCACGAACCCATGAACCCATGCTTATCTGTGATAGGTAAGATGCGACTAACCGCTATTACTGTACCTCGATTACTACCGCCATCCCCGGCCATTGCCGTGGGACTAATGCGGGGGAAGGAACGTAGGCGAAACTAAAGTGGATGATACTTTAGATATGCATCCAAGCATGCATTCCTAGGTCAAGCTTTAAGTATCCGTCAATGTGCAGCAGACTGCAGCAAGCCTTGCATTCTTCACAACTATCTCTCCAGGTGTATTCATCATGAGGTTGGCGGATACGTTGTTGTTGACCACTGGTCTCGTACCACTGACATTCGCTGCGCCGGCAATCCAAGGACGGGCCAACAACAGCACATGTAGGAAGACTACTGTCGCGATCATGTAAGTTTGATCTTCAATTACACAGATCAGAATTGACTAAGGGTCTATAGAGGTGGCGGAGTTGCCGGTATCACAGCAGCTGTAAGTCTACAATGAGACTCGTGTCAAGATGAACAGAACAAGGCAAAATTATTCTGATTCAATACACTTCGGAGGCTCAACGATTACATCTAAGCCAGCTGCTAATGGATCGTAGCAAGCGCTTGCCAATCAATCAGTTACCGACTTCCTGATTCTCGAGTACCAAGATCACATCGGTGGCCGCATGCGAAACACAAAGTTCGGTTTCGACACCAATGGAGACCCTTACACAGTCGAGCTCGGTGCCAACTGGATCTCTGGTCTAGGTGAAAACACAGTAGACGGTCCAGAAAACCCTGTCTGGACTTTCTCAAAACAAGTCAACCTCTCGAGCCCAAATTCCGACTCTTTCTCCGTCGTAACCTACAATGAGACGGGCGCTGTCGACTTTACGGATCTACTGGACGAATTTGAAGAGTACTGGAGTGTCTTCGAACAAAGCGCTGGAACATTGCTCTCTGAAAACTTACAAGACAGGAGCTTCCGTGCAGGTCTTTGGCAAAGCGGGTGGAGACCAAAGGGCGATCCGGCGCGCAAGGCGGTGGAGTACTATCTCTGGGATTGGGAAACCGCTCAGGTAAGCTACATTGGACGATTATTTGTGAGACATGCTAATACGCAAGCTTTTCAGACACCTGAGGAATCAAGCTTCGTCTATGGCATTACGGGATACAATCTGACCTACTATGGCTTCTCCGAGGTCAGCAACTGTACGTACCCCCGCATATGAGCATGATCGTAGCACTGACTGAATTACTTCCCAGTCTGCACCGACCAGCGCGGCTTCAACACCTGGCTCAAGCACCAAGCCTCGAGATTCCTCAAACCCGCCGACCCCCGCCTCTTCCTCAACACCATCGTAACAAATATAACCTACTCCGACACCGGCGTCCACATCCTCACTTCAGACAACTCCTGCATCGAAGCCGACTACGCCATCTCCACCGTCTCCCTCGGCGTCCTCCAAAACGACGCCATAACCTTCTCGCCCACCCTCCCCGACTGGAAGCAATCCGCCATCGCCACCTTCTCCTTCGGAACCTACACAAAGCTCTTCTTCCAATTCAACGAAACCTTCTGGCCAACCGACAAGCAATTCTTCCTTTATGCGGATCCCACTACACGTGGGTACTACACCGTCTGGCAGAGTCTATCCACAGAAGGGTATTTACCCGGTTCCAATATCCTCTTCGCCACGCTTGTAGACGAACAGTCGTACCGCGTGGAAGCGCAGGAAGATGAGACTACGAAAGCGGAGGGCATGGCCGTTCTCCGCAAAATGTTTCCCAACATCACGGTTCCTGAACCCATCGCGTTTACCTACCCGCGCTGGTCCCAAACACCCTGGTCTTACGGTTCCTACTCCAACTGGCCTGCTGGCACGACACTCGAAATGCACCAGAACCTTCGCGCGAATGTGGGCAGGTTGTATTTTGCGGGCGAGGCGATGAGTGCGGAGTACTTTGGTTTCTTGCACGGTGCGTGGTTCGAGGGGCAGGAGGTTGGTGAGCGCATTGCGGGTCGGATTACGACGGAGTGTGTTAATAGGGAGAGTGGGTGTGGGGACTATAATCGGTATGAGGTGCTGCGGGGGACGACGGAGTTGTGGGAGGTTAATGCGTTTAATGGGATGGGAACGAGTCCGTTTTTTGTGGCGGATGCTGGGGAGGCGGAGTAAGAGGATGCGAGTTGTGGGTACGTCTGGATGTCGATGTGGAGGTGGGAGAAGCCTGTAACTCAGGAAGATGATATTGTTACGGCATCCTTCTCCTGCTCTTTTGACGCCATTTGGTCTCCACCCCCCTCCTTCATCTCAACATCCACCCAAATAGGCACATGATCACTCGTCCCCATTTCCTCCTCACTATCCATAATCCCAGCCGCCCTAACCCACCCCTTCTCCCACATCTTCCTCCCCGCAATAAAATAATCCACCCTATCACAGCTACTGCCCCATTTCCTGCCTCTAGAATGATACGTATACCGCCTCTCATGCGGAAACATCTCCCTCCACACATCCACCCCATCAAACGGTTCCTTCGCCTTCCCACCCCCTCCCAGCAGCTTATCGTGGAAATCCGCGCGGTTAACTACATGCGCTTGCGGGAAGATGCGTAGTTTGGGATACCCGTCTCGCTCGTCAGGCGCGACGTTCATATCGCCTGCGAGTAATACATCCCAGCCTTGCTCCTCCAACTCTCTACACTCCCTCGCTAAAAGCTTATGAAACGCGCGTTTCCGATCATGTCTCGTTCCCTTAAACGCACCGGTCTGCGGATCTCGATACGCGTTTTCCGTTCCGTTGACGGCGTAGATGTTGAAGACGGCGAGTTTGGCGGCGCTGGTTTTGGATCGGAGTTCTACGACGGAGATGCGGCCTTCGGCGTCCCAGTCTACGGTGCGGAGGGCGATTTTGTAGGGGATGTAGAGGTCGCGCCGGATGAGGCTGCATATGCCGTAGATTTTGCCGCTGCGTTTGGGGCCGCGGGCGTTGTGGAGGTCGGTGGGGAGGGTGAAGTGGACGTGGTATAGTGGGCGCTTATTATGGGGAGTTCCTTCTTCTTCTGGTAAGGGTGATTTTACTGCTTTTTTGACTGCGTCTTGGGTCTTTTCGTCTGTGTGGGCGATCTTCACTTCTTGGAGGAACAGGATGGACGGCCATTGGTGTTTGTGTAGGAAACCTCTCAGGGAGGCTGTTGGGCGGGTGTTCTTCGTGTCTTCCCGAAGCGCCGTCCTGGACTTGGAAGATTCGAAGAAGTCTGTGATTGGCTTTTGTAGGAACGGAGCAATGCCATCGATATTCCAAGAGAAGATGCGCAATGTGTTTGAGTCGAGGGGTGGAAGGGGCGTTGGAGATGCGGGCGTGCTTGAAGGCGCTGTTTGCCCGGGAGACGCCGCTGTGTTTGTCGCAACCTTGCGTCGTTTCGAGGGAGGTGGACTAATATCTCGATTCATGGCACTGTAGTGGCGGCATGCCGTGACTCTTTGTGATATATGTGACACATGCAGTTGTAAGATGCGCGCACGACCGAGTGACGTCATCATCACTTTCTGCTAGCAATGCCCTAGACTGGTCGCAAACCCAGCCACCAAGATCCTCGCAGCTTTGCTATATGTCGTATTGCTGTTTGCAGTATACAGTCGCGCATGCACGTGGGCGGGGCGCGACGCGTCTTCCCACTAGAATTGATTGGGCAGTGATCAGCCACATCATTCACTACCCCACCACTACCAACACTTGACAACCACGCTACAGACCTCAGCCACAACTACCTAGAATCCTTCTTCCAACACCACAATCGCATACCTACTCCGTTCTTCTATCTAACTCTAACATGTCCTACCGCCGCAAGAAGTCCCTCCTCATCGGCATCAACTATGTCGGCAGCAGCCACGAACTCAAGGGCTGCCATTCCGATGTAGACAACATGGCAGAATTCCTCTCCTACCGCGGCTACACCAACTCACACAAAGACCGAGTCATCCTCACCGACCGACCAGAAGTACCCTACGACTCCCCCTACTACCCCACCGGCCACAACCTCCTCGCAGCCATGGACTGGCTCGTCTCGGAACCTGGATGCACCTTGTTCCTCCACTACTCCGGCCATGGCGGTCAGATTGCAGATGTAGACGGAAACAGGACGACGGGAATGGATGCATCGATCGTGCCGGTGGACTTCGAACAGCGCGGCCAGATTTCCAGTACCATTTTACATGAACATCTTGTTACGTACATGGCGCGGGATTGCACGTTGTTTGTCATCATGGATTGTTGTCATTCTGGTAGTGCGCTTGAGCTACCGTTTGTTTACCGCTCCGATAGCGATGGCCAGATCAGTCTGATGGATAACTTGAAAGCTGGACTTACGCTTGCTAATGAGGCGCGCGACATCATCTCTGGTGGTTTCTCGTATAGCAAAGTTGGGGAGGCGAGGGAGTTGCTTGCGGGTGCGAGTACGTTCTTCAAGGGACTAAAGCATTTTGGGGAAGAGCAGGAGGAGGAGGGGTTGGAAAGTGGAGAGTTTGCGGGGCAGTATGGGAGTGAGCAGAAGATGGTGACGATGTTCAGTGGGTGTAGGGATGATCAGACGAGTGCGGATGCGCGGATTGAAGGGGAGGCGACGGGGGCTATGACGTGGGCGTTCTTGGAGATGATGAAACAGGATCAGACTCCGACTTATGCTGAGGTGAGTGCTTGACACATGTTTGGCGGACTTGAGCGTTGTTGTACTGACCGGGAGACAGACACTCAAGTTCATCCGGAAGACCCTGGACGAGAGTAACTACAAACAGATCCCACAGCTGAGTTCAGGATTGGATATTGATCTGGATGATATGCATCTGGTACTCTGATAATAGGGAGTTGTCATCGAAGTTCCTGCGTACCCCGAGGATGATGGATAAAGGACATTCCTAGCAATAAGACTTACAGCATTCTGCTCATTTGACCTGGACGAGAATTGTCAATTTGTCTGACCTCTGTGGCAAACTTAGCAATCGACGCAGCTTGAAACATGCCCGCACCAATCCGTCTCCCACAACGAAGACACGGTTTGTCTAACCTCTAAGACTACACCCGTAACTTATGTCTTAAAGCAGCAAACGACCCATCCCTTCAACCCTCATCATTCCTATAAACACCCCCTCCATCCCCCATCCTCTTTCCCACCACCCCAGCATTACCCCCTAACACACTCTCACAATGACACCACCAATCGACCCCCTCCGCGCACGCATCTTCTCCGAACTAAACCTCCAACTAACACACCCCTCGATCCCCAAACCCCTCCTCAACGAATGCTCAAAACACCTCGCTTTCCTCGTGCGGTACTACGCCAACGACCCTGACTGTAATCCGCTGAGAGTCAGTGTGCCGATTGTTGAGGTGCCTGTTGTTGTACCTCGTGTGGGCATGGCAGAGGAAGAGGGGGAGGAGGAAGATGAAGAGGACGTAGAGATAGAGATAGGCTTGAAAATCGCGTTGGTAGTTTTCGAGGAGAAGAAGAGGAAAAGCTCTGTACAGACAAGGATGGAGGGATTGCGGAAGATGAAAATGGAGAGATTGTATGGCGTGGGTAAGGTACTTGGGGAGGAGGAGGAAACTGAAGACGACTCGACACCAACGATGAAGATGAAGAGCGATGACAAGGCTGGTGGTCCCGTTAGTAAGATCGCCGGATTTCGACATTGTCTTCCTGCGTCGGCCTCTGGTACTGGTACTGGTACTTCTGCTTCTGCTTCTGCTTCATCTCCAGCCGCGAAGCCAAGGATGCGCGTACTGATCGAGACGACTGGTACGCTGGGACATTACAAGTGCTTGGTTGCTAAGCTTTGTGGCATGGCCGAGCGTGTCATAGCCGGACTGCTGGACGGTGATGAGGATATGGTGCGTGCGTGCGAAGAGGTCAGGAGGAATAAAGGTAAGAACGCGAGTGCAGATGTGGGAAAGAGACCGGTGTGGGATGTTGAGGCATGTGGGGAGTGGTGTTAAACTGTCCAAGACGTGTCAACACGAGGCCCAGGACGTGAACTCGATCGTTGCTTTGGTATTCATATTCATTCCTAGCACGTACGACATACAATGATAGAGATACAACAGCAGCACCCATTGCATCAGAATAACATACTTCAGTAAAATCCAAAAAGGTATCCCTAGCTTGAGCTAACTCACGCAAGCTATTTCCCATCACACCAGAACACCGACCCCGCTACCCGTCGTCAAGAAGTGACCCAGAAAATAGTGCGATGAAAGTACAAACGCCTCGCAAATGCAGCAAAGAACCGCCGTTTGGGTGCTTAGTCCTTCGCGACCTCTGTGCGGACCTCGCCCTTGACGTTTTCGGAGTCGCGTTCTGCGTCACCCTCTTCTTTGGCTGCGGCGATCTCTTCTTTGTTGTCATTCTCTTCCATGTCGACGTCTGCTGTGGGGGCTGAAGTAGGTGCCATGGTTGTTGTTGCTGCCGCGGCTGGTGGGGATTCGGGTGGGGTTACGACACCAGCGGGCGATTGTGAGCGCGTTGAGCCAGCGGCTGGTGCAGTCGCAGCAGGCGCCGCGTCCATGTCGATGTCGCCATCTTCGTCGGCTTCTTGCTCGCCAGCGGCCGGGGTTGTTGTGCGCGACTTGGCGACTGCGGATGCTTGCCGTGTGGATACGGCGCTTTCACCATTGGTCTCCATGCGGTCCAACTCATCCTCTGGAGCAGCGTTGGGGTTCGGGAAGTCGGTGATGTGTCGCCTCTTCTTGGTGCCGGGCTGCTCGCGCACTCCGAGGCTGTTTTTGTAATCCTCGTCATCGCTCGCGTCGTAGAGCTCGCCGTCGTGCTCTATTTGCTGGTCGCGCTGACGCTGTGTCATGCGCACATCCTTGTTCTCGTCGGCATCGAGATCATCGTCTTCATCTTCAGCATCTGAGTCCGTAGCGCGAGTCAGACCCGCAGGCACATCAGGAATGTTGGTGAAGGCTTCAACCGATGGCTTTCCGGTTCTCCGAATATTGTCGATGACGGCTGATTTGATCTTGTGCAGGTAGTCGTGAGAGTTGGCGTTCTCCATGTTAGAAGGACGGACGTCCAGTTCGTAGTCGGGAGCGAAGTATTCGTAGTAGTCGTTGAAAGGCAGCTGCTTGGACATCTTGGTGGAGACGAGCTCTCCCGTCTCGTAGGCCCAAGTTCGCGCTACGTTTCTCATGGTGTATCCACCTCCTCCCAGTACGATGACTGGCACGCCGAAGCTCTTGACGTACTTGACACAATTGGCGTGGCCGTCCATGCTCAGGTTGAAGCAACCAAGCCTGTCCCCGGAGAGACTGTCACCACCGCATTGTAGGACAATAGCCTCTGGGCCGTAGTATGTCATGACCGCCTCGATGACGGGCTCGAAGATGTTGCGATAGGTCTCGTCGGTGATGCCGTCGCGAAGAGGAAAGTTGACTGAGTAGTTCTTGCCGCTGCCGACACCGATGTCGCGCAGCTCACCGGTACCGGGGAAGTACTCGCCGTACTTGTGGAAAGAGACGGTCATGACGCGATCCGTCGTGTAGAAGGCTTCCTCGACACCATCTCCGTGGTGGACGTCGATGTCGATGTACAGCACGCGCTGCTTGTATCGGAGTAGCTCGATAATTCCCAAGACAATGTCGTTGACGTAACAGAAACCACTGGCTTCGCTCTTCTTCGCGTGATGCAGTCCTCCCGCCCAGTTTACAGCGACATCGCATTTTCCTCGGTTCAAGCGCGCAGCGCCCTCCATGGTGCCGCCAGCGCTGATACCGCAGAACTCAAATAGACCGTCAAAGACTGGGCAATCGTCTCCGACGTTGTATTTGCTCTGCTCACGTGTAAAGCTCTCCATGTTATCGGGCGTTACTTTGTGAAGGAACTCGATGTATTCGTCGGTGTGGAACTGCGTCATCTCGTATTTGGATGCGGGCTTAGCGCGCTGCCTGTATGTTAGCACAGATCCATGGAGAGTTGACGTCGGATCCACCTACGTAAATCTCCATTTTGGTGTACAGTCCGTAGTTCATGATCAAGCTGTGCGCCATGCGTATGCGGTGGGGCTTCATGGGATGTCCGGCTACATAGGCGTAGTTGCCGACGTCGGAGTCGTAGAAGTATGCGACCTTCTTTGGCTGCGAGGCGACGCCATTGCTCAAAGACGAGGAGCCCGTCGTGGGTTCCATAGCGGTGGTCATATCTTTGGTGGCTGCGCACAGCTATGCGACTGGGAGGATGTGTGATGATATTATCGTGATAAATGTGATAAAGTTGGACTGGATGTTGCGGGCGACGGCGACTACAGCATGCAGGGTGTTCGAGTATCAGCAATCAAGGAAAGGTGGAGGGGCGTGGCAGAGAGATGGCGGGAGCTTGAACAAAGACCCTCGCGCGCCATTACCATGAGAGCTGCGACAGGGCCCCCCTGTCTAGTGCCGGTTCCGGAACAACCGAATCGCCGCATGCAGTCGCGCAGTTACGTGAGAGAGCTCCGAGCATCAACAGCTTCATCATCGCCGCCGCCTTACCCAGCAACACTTCGTCCACACCCGAATACCCTCACCTTATCGCCATATACCCCGCCTGCAGTAATCAAAGAACCATCGCCAGTACGCCACCATGGATCGGTTAACTAGAATGCTCGCCGCCGCTCAAGGTGGCATGGGCGGTATGGGAGGGCCCCAGGGCGACACCAACCTGATCGATAACTCCGAAACCGTCTACATTTCCTCCCTGGCGCTGCTCAAGATGCTGCGGCACGGTCGCGCAGGTGTACCCATGGAAGTCATGGGTCTGATGCTGGGCGAGTTTGTGGATGACTACACAGTACGAGTGGTGGATGTGTTTGCCATGCCGCAGTCAGGAACGGGTGTGTCCGTCGAGGCCGTAGACCCCGTCTTCCAAACCAAGATGATGGACATGTTGAGGCAAACAGGAAGGTACGCAATCGCTGAGTCGGCGCTCGAAGCCGCCACCGCTCCCAACACACGCATCCGTCGCTGACAAACACAGGCAAGAGACCGTCGTCGGCTGGTATCACTCACATCCTGGTTTCGGCTGCTGGCTGTCCTCGGTCGATATCAACACCCAGCAGTCGTTCGAGCAGCTCACACCCCGCGCCGTCGCCGTCGTCGTCGACCCCATCCAGTCGGTCAAGGGCAAAGTCGTCATCGATGCCTTCCGCCTCATCAACCCGCAAGCCCTCATGATGGGCCACGAGCCCCGCCAGACAACCTCCAACGTCGGTCACCTCAACAAGCCATCGATTCAGGCGCTTATCCACGGCCTCAACCGCCACTACTACTCCATCGGCATCAACTACCGCAAGACTGCGCTGGAGGAGAACATGCTGATGAACCTGCACAAGCACGTATGGACAGAGGCGCTGCTCATGGACGACTTCAAGGGCGAGGGCGAGCGGAATACCGACAGGCTGCAGAAGCTCGTCACACTGGCAGACGGCTACGAGAAGCGAGTGAAGGAGGAGACGGAGTTAACCAAGGACCAACTAAAGACGCGATACGTCGGAAAGGTCGACCCCAAGAAGCGTACGTCTCACTTACCACCTCGAACCAATTACATACTAACAACACCCTACAGACATCTCAGACGTCGGCCAGCAGCTCATCGAAGACAACATTGTCTCCGTCTCACGGCAGATGATCGACAAGGAAGCCTCGGTACCAAAGTCCAACTCGCGGCAAAACGGCCAGTCAAGCGGCGGCGACGATATGGAGATGGAGGAGTAGGATCGCATACCCGTGGTCTGGCTTGGAGGAAGCATGTACACTGGCATGAGCTGCAGAATATCGCACTCAAAAGAGGCATATACGATACAGTAATGCATAGACTACGTATGAGAACAACGACATTACACAAACACGATTCCACTCACGGTGACCGTTACTTTGCCGATTTGAGAACAGCTACACGAATGGGTTATAGCTCTTCTAAGCCTGAGTCTAGTAATCCTGGACAACGACAGAGGCAAAGGAGTCGCTCGCTCATTCATTACGGGTTGTTCAGCACATCAGTCCTCCGAGACAGCATTGAGACGTAGAACCTTGTATTAGGTTCGCAGTGGCATGGAAAACATCTACGCTCAAGTTACATCATATACACTTGGACAGGGAATATGCTCGACGTTTTTCTCTTCTCCAGATCGTTCGAACACACGCAAGTTGTACGTCATGTTTCTCGCTGAAGCCGAAGCAGCGGTTGCGCGTCAGATGTCGTTCATCTATGATTTCAGACTTCGGTCACGATGGAAGCTGCGGAACAGAATAGATGTCCAGGGGCTGGGTTCCATCGTCGGCGTTTCGGGGAAAGGTTCGAAGGATTCTAAGGATTCTTGTTTGTGAGTGAGGCGAAGAGCGCAAATGAGGGGAAGAGTTCTGATGGTTAGGTCGATTGCCGTGTCTTTACATTCGCAGAGTCGTGATGCGGATTGTAGACCTCTGTCCATTATTTATCACCATCATCCATCACAACACCTTGTTCCGCACTCATTGAATTCAAACGTATGTCATTTTGATACCTTCTATATTTTTTCGTGGCCAAAAAGCAAAAAGCAAAACACCAGCCCACGCTGATCCATATCCCATTAACCCGTAAAATTCATTTCTCGTACGCCCCTTCTTCGAAGAACCGCGACACGACAATGCGTCGGTATTCGTCGCAACAAAACCCTTGGGGGTTACTTTCGTCTTTCTGCTCATCCATCCATCCACCGTAGCGATCTTTGGTATATAAAACAACAAAATTTGCCGCCCACTCGAGCCCGCCATCCATCAGCCATAGGTTTCGTCGCCCGTAACACGTATTTTGTGAGAAATGGTAGTGTCGATCCCAGTATTACATTTTGTTTGTTTCAAGCAACTCCGGTAAGGAAAGGTGAAGGGTAGATTGGTTCCATGGAATAACACAGCGAAATGGGTTTGGGGGTTGCAAGAAGTTCGGGTCCATTACTTTGAAAGTCTTGAGAGGAGGTAAGGTG